AGTGGTAGTACCATATTAGGGGTTGCAGCAGTAGTAGTAGCAGTAGCAGGATCTGGCTAGTGTTGCCATTCTCCCCGCTAACAACTCATTGACCCTACTGGACTACTTGTCACCAGTGTCACGACGACGACAGTGCTGGTTTGTTGTTTTGCGCGGTTCAAAAAAACAACCGTGGGGCTTTGACAGGGTTATAGTTTTTGTTTGTACCTTTGCTTGTCCATACGGTGGAAGCCCTGAGCAGGACGGGGCGGGGCGGGGTGGAAAAGTGCAGGTTCAATACGTTTGTCAAGTGTGTGCAACACTGCAACACAGCGGGAAATGAATTGCTTTAGCTGCGTGAATATCATCATCAAACATCATCCCCATCGTGTGGCCGTGCCCAACAGCGATGTCAGAGACCGATCTCATCCGATCTCATACCGATCAGTTTTTGACTAACCAAATCACCAAAACTACCACTTCAACAAACAGTCCCATCATCTATTTCGTGTCATGAGATGCCGACCCCACGGTGACTCATTCCCTCCTCATTTCATGCGACTCGTCGTTTCGAAACGACCGAACAGGATCACGCGCCAGTCCATCAAGCAACTTTCCAAGGCACGTAGCGAGATTGGAGATGGAGACCCTGAGTCACCAAATCCATGCGACAAGTTACGGGCACCTCCCCAGTGCATATCTCTCCATCAACTTCCGGGAGGGAGAGATGAACCTTCCCCTGGCACCGAGAACAAAAAAACAACAACAACATGGATTTCCGCTGTAACCGCTGAACGATGGAAACGATATGTTTTAATGGATGTTGGTTTTGCCGTCCTTATTGGACTGGACATAGAAGCAAACAAACGCACTTCGTCGGCCTACAGGTCGTTTCACGACTTTCCCCAGGAGGTTCAGTGCGGAACATGACGGAACCCATGGAAAAAGGAATGCATTCGTTTGCTCGATGTGGAACTACGGTGGGGATGGCATGCGGTCGTGCTTCGTCCGACTGCGTCCCGATGTCGATCCGCGGTGGCCGTCACCAAACATGGGAAGCAACATCCATGCATGCAGATGCTCTCGTTCTACATGTTTGGTGATTGGAACGTCACCTTTTGCAGTCCTTGAAGTTGAACGTAGGACAGATTGGGACACGGAACCCGATGGAGATGTACAGAATCACCCTGGTGAGGAAGACTGCAGTCGCAAATGGACCCTGGATGGAGTGCGGATTTGCACCCTTTGAGCCAAACAAGCAGACCTAAGCGGACCTTTATGTCATTGCATTCTTTAGCACCAACCAGGCTTTTGAGATGTTCGGGTCAAATCCTCAAATCCCGAACTCGCTTTCCGCTGTGTGCTGGAACGGAGTCACATACGGTATGCCGGTCTCGATGTCGTTTCTGCAGGTCCGCAGGTCATTTCTTCAACGGTATGTCTATGTCCACTTATAGCTTTTAACACCTTCATAGCCTTATATATACTGTAACTTATACAACATTGTATAACATCGAACTATACTATAGGTCATGTTGTTTTTAATGTCCTGTTGAGTGTTGATTTGTCATGCCAGGAGGTGCGGACTTTGCGTCAATGCCTGACTGCGCTGTTGAGCCCTTCCAAGGAGTTGTTCTGAGCCCGCCCTTGCATGCGGCCAGCATGGATTTTGCAAAAGGAGGAGGCATTACATGGACAGAAAACAGGAAGCTTGTGACATGTATGGCGCAGACTATTGGAACACAAACCCGGTTTGACGAGGGGACCCCTGTGGCGGCCCAGTGGCCGTGAAATGATCAGCAGGATTAGGTGTTGCCTTCAAATGAGAACAGGCAGGTAAGGTACCGGTTGCGAGTCTTAATGCATCGAATATTGAATATGATTTATTGCATGCAGGACAGCAGATCCTTTACCCTCATTGATCGCTGGCAGGTTAATGCAGGCTCTTGATGAATACCCATGTAAAACATTGTAAAACCTCGTCATTTGGGGGTTGGAACATGTACAGCCTACATGACCCTCCACGACCTCACCCGTCCCACAGTGTCCCTGACCGCCTCCTTCAGCTCTTCTCACCCCCCACACGTGCCGCCGTCTCCGGCCAAGCCGCGGGACGTCGCGACGGAGCATGGGGCGTCAATGAACTTGCTGGATCCTCGAGAGGGGTGCAAGACGAGCAACATGCTACCAGTCATTCGGACTCCAGCTTGGACTCTCTTTGGAGCTTACAAATGGGAAAACCACCACATGCTTGGCATGAAAGAACATGTCAGCCGAAATCGGGGCAATGCCATCAAACGATGACTTCAGGCCAGCCAAGGCAAGACGGAACCTTGTCAAAGTGGGACTTTAGTTGATGGTCTTGGGTGTAGGCTGAGATAACATGGAAGTTTGGGGTTTGGTCATGTCATGATGGGGGGAAATGTGATGTCATATGAGTGATGTGGAGGATTTGAGTACGCTATAACATACATTATATATAAAATATGATTGTATATGGATTCTTTCGACGTGTGCTAGGCGTCACTGAGAATGGTGCTAGGCGTGTGGGACATGGGACTGCCTGGCCAGTCCAGAGAACTACTCCAGCGGATCTATGGGCTTTCTTGTGTGGATCTATGGTGGCTTCTTTCTTGGGGTGAGGCGGTCGGAAGGATCAAAAGCTGAGGCGGTCGGCCATGCAGGCTCGCAGCCAGGCTGCGCATTGGGTGAAGCAGCGTCAGTCAACCAGTCGAATGGCTCGAGCGGTACTGGATCCATGGTTTCAACGCTGGTACCTGGTAGCACCAGCGTTTTGATTGATCGCGAATGGTGAGGCTTGCTTTCGGATGTGAGGCCTTTGTTGTCATACAATCACATCGCATACTGGCAGCAGGGTTACTTTTACATGGGTGCCCCAGTAAGTGAGCCAAAGGAGGGCAAAAGAAGTTAAAAGAACGCAAAAGAAGCTAAAGGATGGCAAGAAACGTCGAAAGAAACTATAACCCTTGCTTTGGAGTCTTAATTAGTCGCCATCAACTGTAACACTGTAGGTGGCCCTTCCCTCCCTGAGCCGGGTACCAGGACCCCTCGATGGAGCGTTTTAGCAAGTAAGTGGCGCCCTTAGAGGGTTAAAGGATGTTACAGTAAAGGGATTTAAAAGACATCCATTAGGACACTCCTTGTGTGTCCTGGTGAGAAGTTTCCTAACCAGTCGTCAGACAAACACTTGAACAGAAGCAGCACCCTCTCTAATGACTAACATGTGTTTGATAACAAGTCGAAGAGGTTCTTTTATGCTTGTGGGCGTTGCTGAGTTTGCTTTGCCAACGGCATCCCAACACCTATTTTTTGGGGGGGTTCTGCTCCTCGCTGACAAGAACACTGTAAAATACTGTAAGTACTACGGGCTTCTCGTTGGAGAAATGGAATCTATTTACACTTGCCTGCCTCGACTCGCAGACTTGCCACCATTTGCAGCCATCACGAAGAACGCATGAACGCAGGCCTTCACTGGCAAGGCACTTGCGCCATCATCGATTTTCATGTGGGTACACCGACCCCTGCGATGACACATCGAGGATACGATGATACATCGAGGATACGGATACGTTCACCTCTTGTGCACCTGGGTCCTTCGCCCCACCCGTTCGAACCACGACCTCAACACACCCACCCCTAGGCCCGGATACACCCGTCTTTCACCGGATCGCGGTGTTTGGGCGGGGCGGGTGGCGCGCGTGGCGCACGGTGAGGGCCCGTTGCGTCGGCCTGTTTTTTGGTTTCGATGGGGTCAAGCACTTCGAGATCGCCGTGGCGAAGGAGAAAAATCATCCGCTTCCTCTCCTGTCAGTGGATAAGATGAAGCCCTTGTGGAGGTTTGGGTAAACAAGTGGTTTCCCAACAAAGAGGCGGAGAAAACAACATCAAGTTGATTTTCCAGCCAAAAGGCTCGGAGGTGAGGTTTCAGGGTTCTCCGGAAGAGAGATGACTGCATGTACACTCCCGAAAACTAACATGGAAGTGGAAAACCACCTGTTTGTAGTGGAAAATGGTCTTCCAAGGGGCTATTCTCCACTTCCATGTTAGTTCCAGGAAGTGTAAGTACAGAGGTTTTGTTGCAGTGAGTTGGAATGTCACTGACCAACTCTCGGCCTCCAGTAGCAAGGACTGATCTCACTCGGCGGGCGGGCGCGGGCGGGCGCGGGTGAGGATTCTGAGCGTTCCTGGGTGCAGGCATTTCTAGAGCCCTGGGCAGAGACTCCACGGGGCTGTCCAGGACCACCGGTGAAGCTCAGCTCGACTAACACTGTTAGTGAAAAGCTATGAGATCGGCAGGCATGTGAGGTACAATTCCCGAACACTCCGGTATTACATGTCTACATTGACCCCCCAAAACCACCCCAATCTCGGCTGATATGGCAGCTCCATCGAGTGAACTTGAAGGTTTGAATCCTCCGATGCCTGCGTCCGGCACCACGCATCCATCTCATCACCGTTGGGGGCTTTCTGCTTTGGGAGTGTCTCACGTCTGAGCCTTTGGCACATCCGGTAGGAGATCTCGTCGGCTCCAAGCCTTTGGCAACTGCAAGGTGAGTCGGTTGTTTTGCGCTTCGCCCAGAAGCACACGGTTGTCTCAAGAAACTTGTTTCACATAGGTGGAGCCACTCTTCAAGGGAGAACTGGGCAATTAGTGGAGTGGAAATGAGGCCGTAATGTAGCCAAAAGGAAGTAACAAGTAGATGTTAGTAGCCATTCATCAACCAAATTGGAGCACCCGCAGCAAGTCAGTCAAAGAAAAACTAGCTTGACTCCATCTTTGGTCGTGCCACCACTGGAAGACCAAGGACTACCGCAACTCCTTCCCACTTCAGAGAGCATTGCACCAAGAGCATTGCCCGAAACTCCAACCCAGCAAGCTTGGGAACTGTTTTTTCCTGAAGAGATGCAAGACTCCAGGAAGATCATGCACCATCTCATGCCGGGAGAGGCTTTCCTTTCATGGTCCACTTGGTAGCCACGCCACATCACTTGGTGTCGCCATGGCCAGCGAGAAGAACAAGCGTCGCGGAACGGAGGAAAGCGGGACATGATAGGGACATGGCGGACCGGCAGTTGGAGCGTTTGGAGATTCACCAGCCCGGGATCAGCCAGGGCTTCCCAGGTCCTTGGCTGTTGGCAGCATGTTTGCAGCCTGTTGGGTGTCGTTGTGGCAGGAGATTCACCAACAGAGAGCCAAATGTCTTGATCCTGGTAATGGCTTCTGGAATTCCTATGAGTCAGTTCCTTTTGCTCATTATGGTGTTGGAGTGGGAAAGCATTAAAGAATCATGAACAATATGAAACATGTTATTCTTGGATGAGCGAGCCAACCGCAAGAGCCAGGAGAAGGGCAAAGCAGCATCCGCGGAGATAAGACAAGGCAGTGCTGCAACAGGGAGAAGGAGCCATACTTCAACCCAGACCTTCACCTGGTCACGGGACGGGGTCACTGTGCAGTGGGTCGATGAAGCAGAACAAACACCTGGAGATGGATACGAACCATTGGCACAATTTCATGTTAAAGGGAATTCACCAAAAGATCCAAAAGTTGGTGTGGGTCAATAGGTACCATTTGTATCCATTTGCCTACCCAGTAGCAACGGAAGGAAGCCCCTGCGCAGTTGATTTCACTAAATACGCTAGTAGGTTTTTCTTTGCGTACCTTGCGTGACAAGAACATGCGCGCACGACGAGTGCCTACCATGCCTGCCAGGAGTCTTTGGCTTTCCAGCGTGGGCATCGTGGTCCTTGCTGTGCTGCTGGGAATTTGGGGCACCTGGTCCACTGGCAGCGCCTCCAGGACCTGCTGGCCGGATGACAAATGCGTCCAGGGTTACCCCCACAGTGTGACAACAAGGACCTGTTCCAAAGTTCCAAAAAGCATACCAAAGTGTCATATCATTGCATCATGCATGCATCTTAAGAATATCAGCATGTAAATAAAGAAAGGATTGGCAGTAAGATTGGCTAGTAATTCATCATGAGGTTCCTTTGTGCAGCCTTTCTCTACAGCAAACCGCCGAACCGGAACCGCCCGCGCACGCCCGCGCCCGCGCACGGCAGACGGAGGCCCAAGCAGACAGAGGCGACGGTCTGGGCTGCAGGTGGGATTCAAAGCCACTGGGTGCAATGTTCATCGCTGGAGAAGCAGCGATGAAAGGACCATGACTGGACGCCCAATCGACCAATCTACCAGTGGTACATGGTTGACAATTGCTGCAACAAATCCAGAAGTTGTTCTTTCTTGTTTCCTTGCTATGTTTATGTGAGCACACACCTGCTGAAGGTCTGCTGCAGGAGAACGTGACTTGTGCACCTCAAGCCGGAGGCATGGAGTGTTGTAGACCACATCAAGTCCGTGAAATCCAGCATGTGCGGCTAAATCTTCTGAAACAAAAACAACAACAATCCATGCATTGCCGCCAGGTGTTTTCCCGGTGTTTTCCATTCATGTCAGAATGTGAAGATCACACGCTCGGATTTTGGAACACATTCGACTTGTCCAACCCTGCGAACGTTTCAAACCCTAGGGCTCTAGGGCTCCTGGCCCATCTCAGATGGCCGGTGGTATGGTTAGACCCTCCTGGCACCCACCCAGCCCTGGCCCACCGAACCGAATCGGTTCGGTGGGACAGGAGCCCAAACGGGCTAACCGTGGCCACGTACCGACCTTCCACGTCGAAGGTGATGGGAGTGGGGCACTGGGGCTTTGCGGCACCACCAGGAGCGAGCTCAAAGGCCCTCACCGGTGGCGTAGGAGGTGAAACACGGGGGTTGCGGCACGTCCCTGACACACGAGGTGTTTCGATGGGGCTGATTTTGGGAGGAACTGGAGCGATGAGGACAATTGTGTACGTGAAGTGAATCATGGAACTGGGTGAGAGGACCAGTCATTGACCTGCCTTACATTTGGAAGAGTTCTCCCCCCGAATGAGTGTATGAAATCCCGTGCATAAGACATGACAGGAAGGATAACAGCAAGGGGACCTTTTCATTGATCAGAGGTACGGCAGTACGGCATCACCATTCTTTGCATACCCAGACCATCCATGTATGGAATAGTTACTGTACGTACATGATATATTTTACACTAGGGTCGGGGTAAATGTATGGAACTATTCCAGACACGGATGGTTTGGGTATAGTTGCTTCATGTTCTTTCACTTTTCTGCAGGCTCAGTGTGCTCTCCCAAGCTAACTAACACACCGTCGCACACCACCCGGCACATAAGGCTCAGTCAAGCAAGCACTATATATAGAGACGAAAACGAAGAGATTACCATCAATGCAAAGTCTTTGTTCCCAGACCATACTCTGGTGAATTCTGCCAGGTTGCTGTTCAGATTCTTTTGGCTTGGCTTTCCCACGCATTGTTTCTCCTCCCACGTGCCGCGCGTTTTAGATCGTTCTTGAGTCAGTTTAATGCACTAGGAGAGCGAACAACTGTGCTCGCTTCGTGCTGGATGGAGCTGTGCCAGCCGAGCATGTGGAGGACGGAGCCCCCCTGATGCCGAAGGTTCATTCGATTCATGAAGCTTCAGCGTAATGTGAACTCTTGATGGGGGGTGTTATTAATCAAGAGTCTACATTATGCCAGATTTTAGGCGAGGTTTGCACGACTGGCTGAAGCTCTCGTTGGAACTGGCGGGTGCAGAGTATTTGGTGACCGAGATCGGAGATCGATTGGCATATTTCGACCATCCATGCATGGACCCCATGTATGACTACTGTATGACCCTAATGGAAGTATAATTAACCATACTAATCCAAGTAGCTCTAATCCATGGATGGTTTGGGTTTGGGTCCAGAAGCTCGTTAAGACCCTCTTGGCACGTACCTTGGTCCGATCGAGGCAGAACTGCAACGAACAGATGAGTGCGGTTGGGGGTGACATTGAACACATCCCCAAGATAGTTTCCTCCAAGTCTGGGGCAATCACAGAATGAACATGAACAATATCATGGTCATTTGTGAATGAACAACTCCCCACATGTGGAGGTGTGGAGCCCTGCAAAGGTGCATTTATTGACATCCACTCAATGGGCATGGAGTGTCAGTTACAAGTCTTTGAACCGATGCAGAGGAGCTGCGTTTGATGCTCTCGTGGCTGATTGCTGAAGCCTGGGGTGGTGGAGCAGGGCCGCCCAGTGTTGTCGACTTGCATTCGGAGACCATCTCCTACAAGGAGTAAGGGCTGAGCTCGGGCCGGGTTCGGGTTGATCACCCTGCAACTTCACAATGGAAAAGATTGAGCTACGTTCTGTTTGGTTGTGACAACGTGTTTGGCCATGGTTGTGCCCCGTTTCCAGGGTGGGTGGGGCCTTTGGCAGACCCCTGGAAGAAGACAGATAGGCAGACGGCAGCAATCAGTATTGGATTTGGATTCTGCAGTTCAGCAGCTTCCTGCACCGGCTTCCCACAGAGTCAGCAGCGCTGACTGCCCTTGAGCATCCTGCAGATCGAACTTTCCATTGAAGAAGAAAGGAACTGTCCGGAGATCCCGGACAATTGTGTATCAGGGGCTTCCAGCCAGGTGACCCCTTTGAAGGTGCTGGCATTATTTATGATTCACGTGCGGGTGCTGACTACCCACAGTCCTGCCCGCAGTCCTGCACGTTGGCGTGGACCGTTGTCACGCCGAATTGGGCACCCCTTCGGCTGGAGAGGCGCCTGCGTCGTTGCCCTGGGCGCGCGTGCGTTGGGCACCCTGGCAGGAGCAGTTCGTGAACTTGACGGAGCTCATGAACTTCAAGTCTCTGAAGTTCACTCAGAAGCAGGTCGAGGTGCACTGGGCATGGGCGATCATGCGCGCATGGGCGGTTTTCCGGCCCATTTTGGGAGGCGGTGTTTGGGGGCCGTGGGGAGCCAGGCTTTTGGAGCCTGCAGTATGCAGTTCTCCGGGCAAGGACATTTGGGAAACAACAAGCAGTATGACAAGCCCGCTGGGAGAGCATGTCTGTGCTCCAAGCCCCAATTCTTTGATCCGGCACGGCAGTATGTTGGCCTTCAAGATCAAGTGGAAAAACACTGATAGCGTTAAAAGTCACTACTGCCCACCGCCCACTAGACTTCTTAGAGTGTTTGGACACCCGTTGACACCGCGGACATCCGTGGACACCAACTTTGAGAGGAATTTGCACAAAGGTCATGCATATCATATAGTCGACATCATAGTCTGCACAAGCGTTTTCCAACCCTTTAGAAACTTTATTGCTGTACAGTCACCTGTCAAGTTGCAAAGAAGACAGAGATAGATAGATAGATAGATAGACAGATAGATAGATAGATAGATAGATAGAAATTCCTTTGGCTTACAATACAAGCCAAAATAACAATCACAATAAACACATATAGTGTCAACAAACATGTTTGTTATTTCTTGGACCAATGTGCCATGTCTCATTGAACCAGCGAAAACCATGTTTCCACCTCTCTGGGGGTTGAGGCCTACACCCGCGTGCGTGAGACCTTACGAGTTCGTTTGGCGCAGCTTTTTGGATTGGATGCCGAGCAGTTGCAGCGCTTGGGAACGCAGTTCTGCAGTGAAGTGGATGGATTTGTCCGTGTGACTTTTTCATCGCTACCCTTTGGAGAAGATGCATTTCTGGTGGGTTTCGGGGGGGGGCCAGTCACTAGCTTTGACGTATGTATATATCTATATACTCCCTGCCTGCAGCAATCAGGCGAGTGGAAAATGGCCAGTAGACGAAACCCGTGTTCCTTTCGGGACCATGTTCCGCTTGCGTGTTTGTTGGATGGAGGGTATGTGTGTGTGTGTGCAGCCTATATATGGTGTAAGGCACTGGTAGGCCCTACTCCAAAAATTGTTCCACAGTAGAATTGTTACTTACTGCAAATAACTGGCCATCAAAGAGCACCACTGACGATGTTGAACCCGTGATGGACATGCCGTGTTCCAAGCAGTTCCAAGCAAGTGTATTCTGCTGGGAGCGTATCCGTGGCTCCTAGGCACGACATGACTTTCTTTTCCCACATCAATGGGAGCAAGACGGCGCAGACCGTGCACGATGATGCTTGCATGGTTCGTGGGTGGAGGATGGAGGGGTGGCCGGGGTGGGCTACTGAGGGAAGGCAACTGAGAGTAAGACATCAACATGTTCATAGCTTTGCTTCAGACCAAAAATGGCTATGGCTACAACTATAATGTTAGCCAAGTAAGCTTTTATTCTAGTTCTGAGTGTTATTACCAATATGATACTGTACTTTACTAGTATCCTATATATACCGATATGGCTATGGCTATAACCGTATGATCTTGTACCTGTTTAGCAGGATTCCCTGGCCGTTCTCGTGCATCTCGTTGATCTAAGTTAACTTGATCCGACACCGAGACTCTCTCCCGCTTTTGACCTAGGAGTATTGGCACAGCCACATCGACACTGAGCAGTATGGCACCTTTGCCTACACAAGCCTCTTGTATCTCAACACCCAGGATGAGGACAGCCTGCATGCACCTCATTGTCAAAACCACGTGGAGGGAGAGTCAATGGCACTCACTCACTCGCTCGCTCACTCACTCACTCTCTCACTCTCACTCTCTGCATTTGGCCGCATTCGGGTTTCAACCAGGACTTCCATGGTGGTGAATTCGTCTTCGAGGCGCCAGAGCCGCGCGCGGTGGAGCCGCGCGGCGGGCGCGTGGTGGCCTTCAGCAGCGATGCAGAGAACCCACATAAGGCGCAGTCCGGGGGGCAGGGGGAGGCTCGGCAGGGGGAACGGACCGGTTTTCGGCTGGGACGCCAGGGTTTCCGAGATGGTGGTGGATTCAGGACCCTGGGGACCCTGGGACGGGGACGTGGTACATTTGGGAGAATTCGGCGAGAAAGAAAGGGCTGTTCAATGAATGAACCTGGAACCTTCCCAAAAAGTTGTGTGGATCGTCTGCAGCGCAACCGAACTTTGGGGGATTGGAGATCTCCCCACTCAACAAGAAGCGTGTGGAAAAAGGCTCACCTCATCCCACTTTCTTGTTGCCGGGAGACTGATGGAGTCAGGCAAGAATTCAGATGTCATGATACGCCCCCCATCCAGGATGGTGTTGGAGGTTTTGGGACTTGAAGAGCATCATTTGCTGGGTTTAAAGCTCCTCAGAGAGGCCATGTTTCCACTTCCGTGTTTTTCACGTAGAAAATTCTTTCGGGCCAGTTTCAGGGTGAGGATGCTTGGAGTCATGTCAGTCATGTCAAAGATCAAGGAGTGGAGGTGTGCATCAAGCCTCAGCCAGTTGCTCTTGCTAGCGCACGACTGGGGTTGCAAGCTTGCAGAGCTACATCTCATGGCTGTTGAAGAACAACTCACCTGCGTGTACATCTTACGCGGCGCAGATCTTTTTGCTCAAACAAACAACTACGTAGCTGTGTGCGAGACTCGCTTCAGATTGAGCGCCTTAGCTCAACATGGCACTGAGTGGTACGTACTTTCGTTGGCCATACCACAGCAAGCTAGGCTCGCAGTTCCAAAAGATTCAGTCCATCCCATCGTTAATCAATCGTTGAGCCTTTTTCTTTGTCTTTTCATGTCATTTCTCTTTTTAAGGTGCAGAGCTCAAAGCGATGCCCACAGAGAGGGAGAGAGAGAGAGAGCGAGAGCGGCAAAAAAGGGCTCCAAAAGAGAGAGAGAGAGAGAGCAGGCACCAAAAGAGAACTGAGCACAAGAACAGAGATCAACATGTTTTGTTTTTAAAGCAAAACGTTGGACCCCCGATTGGATCCCATGGAAGAAGGAGGATAGACGAAAACAGACCAGTTTACCCACTATGATTTTCCGGGCGCCATGGATTATCCCAGTCTCCCTGCGATGGGACAGGACCAGCCATGACCAAAACAGGAGAACACCATCCAAATTGGGCCAATGGGTGGGGTGCAGAGGGTGCAGACACAACATAGCACAAACAATTTGGAACAAGAACCTAACATACCATACAGTAGATGTGGTAGTTCACTAGCCTAATCAGCACTCCGTCGTTGGAACCTCTGGTGTGGACATCGTGCCGCCGCCACGACCAAGGCCTGGCCACTTTGGGCCTGACTCTGCGAGCTACCTACTAGGTACTAGGGTTAAGTCGACTCGGCTTGTGTAAAGTCGACTCGGAACCCTGCGCCCTTGCAGAATTGCAAGAAGTAGAGTATAGAATGTATTGATCTATAACACATGTATGAGTTTGTAACATGCATATTACAATGACAATGAACATAAATGAGCATCATCACTCATGATCACCACTCGAAAATGCCAATGCATATTACACATTGATGAAAATGAATGCCACATGTGGGGCGTTGGAACCCTAGCACACATGAATTGGATCAAACGTTGTGATCTTTTCCATGTGGAAGACAAAGAAACGCGGAAAAACATGGTGTCCAACCACCAGGACACCATGCCCAAGAGGTGACCATCATATCATGATATTTTTATGGAGGTGGCCAGGCAGCGGTTTGGGTCAGGCACCACCCCTTGGAAGTCGTATAGATGTACACGACCGTGACTTATAAGGGTCGCGACCCGGAGTTTTCGCTTTTTCTCCACAGGCTACGCGATGCGTAGCGCGTAGCGCGGTAGCTACTACGGTTCTCATGGTGCCATGCAATCCACCAACTGAGGAGATCATGGGCGGGTGCGAAAGCAAGGCCACCACCGCGAATGAGTTCCAAGTTGACGCTGCCAGGTTCCGGCCGGGGCGGCCGGTCGTGTGGTGGGACCGGCGGGAGGAGCACGTCATGGGGACCGGGGACGTCGGTTCGAGCTTTGCGCCGAAAGCTGGTGCAAACTTGGCTGGAAAATGACACCTGTCCAAAAGCAAAGGGAGACTGGTCGGGTATTCTACATCTCAGATCTCATGTCATGTGTGAATTGACCACGTATTCAGCAACCAATTTTTTTCAGAAGTCTCTGGGTATCCCTTTCGTTCTGTCCTAACCTCCTTCCAGGAATGACCCAGGTGGAGGTTGAACGATGGACCTGCTCGGTTTGAACCTGGTGAACTGGTCCAAATATTCGGTCTTTGTCCACAGAGCTTTGCATCACAAAGAATTCATTCCCCACATAGACCATTTGCTGCTAATTAATTTGCAAATGAGACCTATATGACACAGGATTGGCGCATCAACATTACATTAACAATCATTAACATACATTAACATTATATTATCTTCATCTGGATCTACACCTCTAGTGAGCTTCTGTTGTTGTGAAGAGTCTCGGTCAAAGTCTTCACACAGTTGATCAACCACTTCCATGATCTTCCATGCGCAGCAGCCGAGAGTGTATTCTGACTGGTACTTCGTAGGGAATCAGGAGATGGATCCTAAAGGACTCGTTTGAGGCGGGACATCCCGCATCACCGGAATAATCCTCCTGCGTCACCTGGTTTGAGGCATCCGAATCTGCAGCGCCTGGCGTTGACCACCACGGAAAAGATGGGTGGCCTGGCATCCAAAGAACCCAAAGTCAGCAACGTCATGGCTGGACATGTTGGGATCTCTTATGTTTTGTACGCGGGTTGTTATAATTGGCATGACCCAAGTTTTGAAACCAGCATATTTCGTATCATGCCTCCCAGATCTTTCTTTGAACCTCCTGAATGGCGCCACCTCCCTCCTCCCTCCTCCCTTCCTCCCTGTTCACTCCACCAGCAGCGAACCACCGCCGCGAACGAGGCTGGATTCCCGACCTTCCGGACCACCGCGACCATTACATGAGCTTCAAGTCCATCGACACGCCCAAGGAGAGTCGGGAAGGGACACCCACCACACCGCCACAGGAGGGAGAAACGAAGGAGAACCGAAACCGGCTTTTTACCGGTTCAACCGGTACGAGTCGTGCGGGTGACCATGTCGGGCGCCCGGTTGTATCGAAGTGGTTCCACTACACGACCCTGTCCCTCAACTCCTGTCCCGGTTCCCACCGGCTGTGTAATGGGCAGCTCGGTGGGACTGAGACTTTGGACACCATCCGACCGCCATGCAGTGTTGACAAAGACATGTTAAGACATGTTAAGACAAACCATGTTTCTGGTGAGTTTGCCGATATGTAAGAGTTCTTGAGAATGGTGTCCAAACTCAAAAACCCTTCACTCAGTTTGTCCTTGAGGTGCTTTTCTTTGATTGAGGGGCCCGGCATGGGCCACAAAAGGTCTTAGTCTTTGTTCTCATGGGAGAAGAAGACGAACGACAAGGGGGGGCTAGGTGCCTTGCACATCCCGTCCATGATATTGCGACTGGTAAAGACATTGACCTTAGAACTGTGGGGGTGCCCTTTGTTTCCATAGCATTTCAGGCTTGGCGCGGTTTTTGGAGTACAACTCGATTTTTGGGCGGGGCTAACACGCTACAAGACAGATTTCATCAAGTCCGTTCATGGCAATGGCGACGGCAATGTTTCTTTCTCGAAGGCAACCATTGGAACATTCCGAGAATGGCGGATCGAGTCAAATCGTTCCATTTTGGGTGACCATTGCTCCGAGTCCAACTCCTGCTTTTCCAGAAAGACATCTTGCACCGACTGAGATGGATAGACCAAACAATGCGATTCAGATGTCTACCCTACTATCCGACAAGCATGGTGGCCAAGCTTTGTTCTCGAAGGACCTCAAGAAGAAGACCGAAGGCAAGAAGGAGATCGTGGACTTAAGGCCCCTCAACGGTGGCTTCAAAATCTTCAACCAAGGAGAGGCCCAAAACGATGGACGGTATGTGAGCAATGTCGCCTCCAGATGTCGAACTCCCCGGATGGACGGTCAAGAAGGTACTGGGGGAATACCTACCCTATAGGGCTCCTGTCCCACCTCCTGAGAAGGTGGTTGGGATGGGTTTGGGGGATCTAACATGATCTAACCACCGAACTTGAGGATATGGCCAGGAGCACTAGGGCTAATGATTGCGTCAGGACATTTGGGTAGCTGCACGGCGAATGCTTTGGCGGCCTCTTTCCACTTTACCCTGCACAAAGAGAATGTGGAGAGCCACGCGGACTTGAAGGACTTCACACCGAGCCGCCTCTTCATCTACTACAACGAAAGGCGGGGATGATGGAGACAAGACGTGGAGACGGGGTGGGCCCATGTCCTCGTCTCTTCCAGGGTTTCCATCAGCGCAAGGGAAGGAAAAGAAGCGAATTAATCGATGCCCCGGAGACTTGTGAAGCACCAGCAGTCGCTTTAAGGGCATATGGGCGGGGTAATTGATCGCTAGCGTCTAAGTCCAGGGCTGTTGAACATGATCAGGGTCCTACTTCTCAGGGTCCCTCGCTTAACTGGAACCGTGACCCAGCTATGAGCCCTGTTTTTTCTCCCACAACCCGACCCTGGGAGTGTTGGAGCTGCATCCAGGCGTTGTCCTGATTAATCCGCTGTTTCTTTGTTGGAACGTGCGTCATGTCAAGGTTTGCATGACATGTGGAGGAATGCAAGTTCTTGGCTTATATAAAGTAAATGATATCAATAGTGGTGTACTGTCAGGGCCGCCTTTGTTTGGATTCATTCATGTGTCACCCCTGACCCAAGAAATTCATATAGAAAGTCGAACTGCTGAGGTAGGAAAACAAGCAAACCACCAGTGTAGATGATATTTTCGTGTATTTTGGTTTTCTTTCCTTAAGAAACCACCAGTTGCATAACCTTGCTTTCCCCAGTGGCGTCCATACGGGCAGCCGGAACTCCAGCGGACCCTCGGTACGTCGCCGGAACCTCCGTATGTTGAGGTACGTTGAGGGCAGTGTGGACCAAGATGCTGGCGCGATGTTGCGTGATGGAGTCAAGGTCATGGCAAAGAAACTTGGTTTTCTATGTTAGTTAATTAATCAGTCATAGAACTTGGTTAGTTGTTGAAACATGTTGTTATTGAAACTTGGTTAGAGGTCAATGACCAAGCCCACCTTCCAACTAAACCCTTTTTGCACCCAAGGCCACCTGCAAGAACCAGGACAGTCTTTTGGGGTTCAAAGCCATGAATCAGGAATTCAATGGCCTTGTTCGCCGGTGTTATCGTGCAGATTTCCCAGAAAGAAGGATTGCTTGTTGTAGTAGTAGTAGTAGTGGTAGTGGTAGTGGTGGTGGTGGTAGTGGTAGTAGTAGTAGTAGTAGTAGCGGGAGTAGTAGTAGTAGTAGTGTGGTAGTAGTAGTGTGGTAGTAGTAGTAGTAGTAGTAGTAGTAGGTGTAGGTGTAGGTGTAGGTGTAGGTGTAGGTGTAGGTAGCAGTAGCAGTAGCAGTAGCAGTAGTAGTAGTAGTAGTACCACCCTAAAGGGTTGCGATAGCAGAGCAAGAGAAAAGAGCCTGGATTGTTGTTTTGCTAGGGCTCCAAGTTTGCACATTATTCCCATCCCCTAAACAAATCTTATTGTTCACTCCCCCCTGGGCTTGTGCACCACCCTTGAAAAATTGTTTGGGGCAATTACACCGATAAGTTTCAATAAGGTTTTTTTGAACACTATTTTTCAGGTAAGATCACCTCAGAAGAGTTAAGTTAAGCCAGGACCTAAGATCCTAAAGGACTGCAATAGCAGAACAATAGAAAGGTAAGCCTTAGATGTTTGTTCTAGGGCGCCAAGTTTGCGCATTAATCCTCTAAACTACTTTTGCCATTCACCTCCTTTGGGCTTGTGTGCTACTCCTTGAAACATTGTTTGGAGCAATGAAATTGATGAGTTTCACTATATATGTTTCAATAAGGGTTTTTGAAAAACAAAAGTCTGGTAAGATCACCTCAGAAGAGTTAAGTTAAGCCAGGACCTTAAAGTTCTAAAGGACTGCAATAGCAGAACAATAGAACAGCAAACTTAGATATTAAATTAGTAGGGCTCCAAGTTTGCGCATTAATCCCCCCCTAAACTACTCTTACTATTCACTTCCTTCGGGCTTGTGTGCTACCCCTTGAACATTTGGTTGGAGCAATGAGATGGATGAGTTTCAATAAGGGTTTGTGGAAAACACAATTCAGGTAAGATCACCTCAGAAGAGTTACTGTAAGTTAAGCCGGGACCTTAACATGCTAAAGGACTGCGATAGCAGAACAATAGAACAGTAAGCTTAGATATTTGTTAGTAGGTCTCCAAGTTTGCGCATTAATCCCCTAAACTACTTTTATCATTCACTTCCTTCGGGCTTGTGTGCTACCCTTTGAAATGTGTTTGGAGCAATGAGACGGATGAGTTTGATCAAGGTTTTCAGGTTTTCAATTTCCATAATTCAAGCAAACCTCAGAAGAACAATAGACAAGGTGGACTACAAGGTGGTGTAGTTGTTGGTGAAAACACAACCTCGGACCTGGCTGGGATGGCAACCTCTTTGGAGTCGACGAAGTCGTCGACCGACCCTCAGCCACTGCGATCTCAGGTCACTTGAACGTTTCACTACCATTAAACTACACAGGTTCCGGTCGCTTCAATCTTCACTTGACTGGCCATCGGTCCGTGGAACAGGAGGTGGAGCAGTGGCCTGACATTTTGACTGATGAGTGAGCCTGCATTTCTTTGTAAAGTGAGTTTTCAGTTGAGGATGGGCGTGTGTCCGGAGTCCATGTGGAAGTATGATGACGGCGATGACTTCTTCAAGAAACAGCCAAGCAAGGACTGCTATGACTTCGCCCAAAAATGTACGGTGAAGAGCTACGCGCGGGTGGAGCAGGCGAGGGCGGGTTTTGAGGCTTGTTAAAAGGCATCATGATTCCATTTTTGACCCGCCTAGCGGGGTGAATGAAGAGAGCTGATTGCGGAATGCCCTGCAAATTGAAGGAGGCCCTTGTGATTGCACCCTTCATCCTCATGTCACTTTGTTCATAACCACCTTGCCAGTGTTTAACAATCCAGTGTTTATGACCACTTAGCCAGGGCCCCAGGGCTATGTATAGGCTAGGTAGGTGACAGTTGCTTTATGTTGCCTAGTTAGGCCTAGTTGCCTTGATGGAAAACACACAAAAAGACTCCCCAAATCTGCCCTGCAGAATGTGGAGCAGATGAAGGCTTGCATCAAGCATGGCTATCCCTTTGTGTCCCTGGCCGTGAAGCATGGAAATCCCGCGTGTGAACCGCGTATGCCAGTTGGAACAATAATGGATATTAGTTCAACTTATAGCAAAGCAGTGGCTCGCACGCACAAGAAGCCACGTACAAGATGATATATAGTTTGATATAGTTTGGATGCAGTCAGAGTTGTATGAACTACATAGATGTATGTTGAACTCTCTCTCTCTATATATATATATACATATGATTGTATTTGTTTTGTATAATATATAATCTATATATATCTATTTGTATCGACTGAAATATTTGTATGTATGAAAATATACCCTAGAAGTCCAAGGACTATATTTTGACCGGCTGAAGTAAAGAAAGTTCCCTTTCAGGTCCCCTAAAGACCATGCTTTTTTTATAGTCTTTGACTCCCAGGGTATATATATGTATATTTGTGTGTACACACTGACATACATATATACACACCGTTAGAACTGTACCAATTTCTGATTGGCCTTGAACGCTCTTTCATGTTGCACACCGAGTCGCGAATTCACTTCCAACACCCTCGCATACCTCAGGTTCGGCTTTACCGTGCTGACGAGCTTTCAGGAAGCCGCCAAGGACGGCAAGATGGTGATGCCCCAGAAGAACGACCAGGCGAGACACTACCTTGTTATTTGTTTGGGGGGAAGAATTGTATGTGTGTGTGTGTGCGCCATTTCATGTCTATTATGGTTTTGTTTGGTGCTTAGGTAGAGGTCGCCGCAGTCGTCGTTGGCCACTGCAGTTGGTTCTGCTTCTTACGCTTGCCTCTATCTATAAATGTTTGTTGATGATGCTGAAATTTGAATTTGTTGAAACCACAATTCCTGCATTTGATTTTGGGTCCTGAGAGAGGTGATGGTAGAGAAGTGTTGCCGTTGGTGATGGTAGAGAAACACATGCATCGTGCATTTTCACAAGGATGGAGGAGCGGGGGGGGCACCTTTGCGGCTCAATAATATATGGCCCACTTACCCGAAACCTTGAGCTGTTTGTTTATTTCTTCTATTTTTGAGCCAATTTTTGAGCTACCATGGGGAAAAAAAGATCAAGCATGGGCTTCTGACCTTGAAGAGGCTCCACGATCTACCAGACTTGGACCCAAACTCGGCCGCGTTCAGAGCTGAGCGGCCAAGGTAAGGGGAGGCCATGCCGTGTGCGCCGTGGGCTACGATGACTTCCAGCAGTGCTTCATCGTACGGAACTCCTGGGGCGAGGAATGGGGTGACAAGGGCCGCTTGGAAGGCAAAAGAGTGAATGAATGGGCGAACAGAGGGCGGGAATGGTTGAGCCTGAAAACCGCTTCATAGGCTGTTTTTTTGAACGATGGCTGAAGGAGATTGAGTAGCAGGATGTTTTGTTCCAATATGATGTTTCTCTCAAGGAAAGACAAGGAGTTGGCCCGGAGTTGGCTGACTTGGTGAGTTATATTGCTGGTGAGTTGAGTGGGCAAAACCAAAGTGGGTGACATGGAGCCAATCGAGCATCCAATGTGTTTGGCATATTAGATATATACAGCAGCCTGCTTATATAAGAGGTGGTGAATTCAATGGCCAATTCCTACTCTCCCTTCAAAAGAAACAACTGTTCCTTTACACATGCACTTTGTGAGTCGCACATCCTTTCCGGTGAAATAGATTTTGACGACTTTGTTGGTTGCCAGCCAATAGAAGCAGTCAACAGTTGCGGGTTGTTGGGGAGACTCCTGGAATGTTCTGGTGCAATGAAACAACAGATCTGTGAAGACACACCTGGCCTGAGTCTCTCAGCTCACTGCTCGCTGATGCTCACTGTGTCTTGAAGACCCTTTGTGGACATCAGGGTTGAGCGCAGAAACATAGCAATTGAGCTAAGGTTACTTCTACATGCCCTATGAGTACATTCGTGAGGAACAGCTGGCTCAGGCCATTTATGCCTCGATGTAGAGTTGGGAGTTGGTGGGAGTTGATGGGTGCAGTCATGCAAAGTTTTCAGCCTGAAGCACATATATTCCTGGAGTCGGCCCCAAACCTGGCATCTAGGACATTTGTCAACGTTTTGGGACATCCGTTTGCACTGCCCTCCCTCCAACAAACATGGAAGTGGACAACCCCCCCAGTTTGTAGAGGAACATGGTCTTTCCAGAGGCCATTTTCCACTTCCATGATTGTTTCAGGACGAGTAAGAAGCGCGCATGTTGTCATGTTTCCCCTTTTTTCCCAAAGCTAGCGTGCCCTGGCTGTCCGACAGGACTTTTGGGCGATCAATTGGGTGGAGGGCTTCAAGGATGCTGCGCCGAAGAAGTTCTAAAGTGTTCTCGAGACGGACTGGTTGTAGATGGTTGTAGCCAAAACTCATGCATTTTCCAAAGGTTGTGTGGATAGGATACCCCCCTGGTGCTTGCAACGATTTCAACCTGGTGTCTATAGGTGCCATTGCCGATGCAATGTTTTTAAGATATTGCCGTTGGCGGTTGATTTGAACATGCGTTGGGATATTGTTGCAAGCTCACATCCAGGCCTTTCCACAGCTGGGGTGTCTTAAAGGGACCTCACTGTACAGTGATTTTGTGGCACTTCCTTCAATTCCCCAGAAGGGGTTGGAGGGTGTGTCGCAAAGCAATTCAAAACCAAAGGTGGTTTGGGCAACAGCCGTGAAACTTTCCTTTGATCCAGAGGCAAGCTGATTTGCTTTTCATATCTTTGATATGTTTGCGAGATCATGTGTCGCCTTGAGAGCGCTAAAGAGCTTCACGATCGGAGTGGCCATGTGGCAGTCGGATGCCTAGCTGTCAGTCCGCAGGGGG